GACGCTGAGGCCCGCGTTCGTGCACACGTACAACACCTGGAAGCCGACGTTCCGCGAGAAGATGAGCGACAGGCACACGCCGTGGCAGAGGACGACGACGTAGTTGAGCGGGTGGTGCAGGTACGACGCGACGCGCGCGACCTCGGCCTCGCGCTCGGCGTCGTCGAGCGTCGCGTTGCGGATCAAGCGGAGGCTGTGGTTCGTGAGCAGGTAGGCGTAGAGCGCGTAGTGCGCGCGCGCGAGGCAGTACGCGCGCGTAACCGGCGACGCGGTCGCGGCGGCCGTCGACGCGGCGACGAAAAAGGCGGTCCAGGCCGCGCCCGAGACGTGGGAGCCGACGCCCGACGTGACGTAAAGAGAGCTCTCGAAGAGCCGCAGGGCGACGAGGAGCAGCCAGTAGAAGAGCGCGACGCGCCTCCGGAGCAGGCGCTCGAACCGCCGCTCGTCGTCCGCCGCGAGCCGGAACTCGCAGCACCGCTCGAGATCGTCCCCGCGGTGCGACGCGTCCGCGATTGCCGCGGACTCGTCGTCCTCGGACGGCGCGTCGCCGCTCGAGGCTTTGAGCTTCGCGCCGAAGACGCGCCGCACCTGGGCCTGGAGCTTCTGGGCGAGCATGGCGATCGCTCCGACGGTCGTCGGCGCGGAGGAAACGAGACCTCTCAAGGGTTCGGACCGCGACGCCCGTCGCCGCGGGTGTGGCGTGTCACGCGATTCTTCTCCGCCCGTGGAGTTGCGCTTGATCAGCACGAGGGATTTTCACTTGCATCGATCGAACTCGTTCACGCCGTCTGCCCTCGTTCACAGGCAGACGGCCGGCTCGATTGGGTGCGTAAGCTATGGCACGTCGATTACCGGTAAAGCCCCGAGCCGCCTCGGTAATACCACGGTAATTACCGGTAATCCCGATTACCCGGGTAATTACCGGTAAAATACGGTGTACCGGGACGGCTTGGAGGCGGTATGGCGGCTCAAAAGGACCCCCGCGAACCCGCGTGTCGACCGAATTCTCTTTACCCGAAGGCGCCGCACGGTCTAGCTTGCGACTCCTCTTAGGGCTCTAGGCGCGCGGGCGCGCGCGGCGGCGGGGCGGGTCGTCGTCGTCGGACTCGGTGTCGGACTGGCGCGCGCGGGCGCGCGCGGCGCGGCGCTGCGTAACGCGACCGCGACGGTCCGCGCGTCATGATCGCAGGCTACCCGTACTTGCGGGAGCTCGGCGCGCCTCGGTATTACCCGGGCCGGGAATATGGCCCTCGGTAATACCGCGGTAATTACCGGTAATTACCATACCGGTATTTTACCCTGAGATTACCCGCCCGGCTATAGCGTAAGTCACCTCATGCGCGCGCGAGAGGGAGAGAGAGGGCGCGCGCGTGCGAAGCCCGAGTAGGCCTCCAGGTGGGATCGTCGGGTGCGCTAACGGCGGGGTGGGTCGCCCGATGCGCGAGAGAGAGAGACTAGCATGTGATTTACGCGGCCCCATCTAGAAGCCGAGGTCGACGCCCGGGAGCGGCGCTGGCGGGTCCGCGAGTAAGCGGGCCCGGGCATGCCCGTCCAGCACAGGCTCAACAACAACAACATATGATTTTAACGGCGAGGTCGAGGTCGACCCCGGGGTGTCGAGGCGGCGAGCTCACGGCGAGAAGTCGAGGTCGAGATCCCCGAGGGACGCGTTCGGCGAGCCCGCGAG